TCTTCTGTCAAAATTTATTTTGATTAAAATATCTCAGAAACTAAAACTGTAATGAAAAATCTAATGATAATTTTATTATATATACGAAGTACGAACTTTCGATTGCGACTGGTCCGATTAAAATCGGTACGCTCAATCCTGAGATCTCGTGATCTTTTAACCTGAAAAGATCATTTGGTTATTTCCAAGTTTCAGACTCACACGTACACATACACGTAAAGCCAGTTTGTCATTCAAGGGGCTTTCGCGATGACTACATATATATACAATAATATTACTAAAAAATTATGCAATATAACTGAATGAATATTAATGTATGCACACAATCTTTAATATTTAAATAAAAATATATAACATACTAATAATAACATACTAATATAATATAAAAATTATATAACATATATATTATAAATATATAACATATATATAATAAAAAATATATAACAAAATATAATAAAATATAATATAAATAAAAATATACACGTCGTAAATATACAAAAGATCAAATGTTTCCGAATGTCAAACAATTAATGATAAAGAAATTATGGGTCAAAATTCATGGTATACAGATATAAGAGGATTTCCAAATAATGATAATGTATCGTGTTATGCTAATGCTTCAATTCAATGTATATTCAATTCTTATATTCTCAGAAAGATATTACTTTATCTTAAACGTACAAATGCATTCAGAAAATTAATTGACTCTTATGTATCTAATGAAATTTTGAATATAAACGCAGTGCGTAGATTGGCTGGTGATCGATATCTTGAAAATATTCAGCAAGATGCTGGTGAGTTTATCAAAGATCTTATTAATAATTTAGTTAATATAAAGAGTATAATCGAATATCAGTTAAACGTAACATTACGATGTAATAAGTGCAATTATACAAAAATAGAAATTTATACAAATTATATATTACTACTTCGATTACCAGAAAATTTAAAAAAATCATATACTTTTGAAGAACTAATGCAATATAATTTTTCACGTTGGACTAATGTAAAAAAATTATGTGCTAATTGTGGTGTTAATTCTATATTTGAAAAAACTGATATAATAAAAACAAATGGTATTCTTATCTTTCAATTATTATTATTTAAAATTTGTAATAAGAAAGTTACAAATCTAAATATTAAAGCTATACCTATAGCAAAGATATCTGTTAATGTGAATACGTATAAAATTATTAATGCAATTTTTCATCATGGTGAAAGTATAATCGATGGACATTACACAAACATACGTACTAAGGATGCACAATGGGTACTAATAAATGATTTAAGAATACAAAAATGCAATTGGCCGCGAAATGCTAAAAATGCATTCATATTCTTTACAGAGCAAATAAAATAAAATGTATTTTACACACACACACACACACACACACACACACACACACACCGACCTCCGCTTAAAAAATAAAAGGAAACATCTTCTAATTTTTACAAAAAGAAGTGAAATCCTATAAAAAAATACCTTACAAAGGTGAAAAAAGATACGCCAAGTACATAAAAAAAGACTTAATATTTATTCAAGAATTAGCTATTCAAAAATAAGTATGAGATCAACATAATTGGCCAAGTATATCATTACGAAAAAAACTTTGAAAACTCAATAAAAATCTATTCAAAAATTATTTGTGAAGAATGAATACATTATCAGCGCAGGTACCCAACAATTACATGCAATAAACGTTTAATGCATCCAAACATGCGTGCAGTTATGATTTAATATATTTAAAAGTATATGCAACTAAACTTTAACGTACTTATTCTCTTATTTCATACAAATCTTAAGTCGTATGAAACGAGCTGTAATGAAAATGATGAAGGGGATCATAGTAAAGCAGATACTTGGCGTGCCCGGATCATGGATAAGAACAGTAGGTTCACTCAGCTAAAAATGATAATAGTTATCCCTTGCACATGATCATTCTGCACATTTAACAACATGGTGCTCCAATCAGTTTCCTCTATTAAAATACTATAGTTTAGGAAAGTTAAGCGATTTCGCTCTTATAGATGCTCACGTACAACTGACAACATGGAGATCATGTAACAACCAATTCAAAGATGTAGACACACATTAAGGTATATTTACACAAACTTGCATATCCGCATATAAATACATGCATAAAGAAAATTATTCAATCACATTTTAAATGCATCTTTACAAAAGAAATGTGATTGAATAATTTTCTTTATGAATACGTTTATGCGTGCATAGCCGCATCTTACTTATACTGAGCCTTTCTTACACATCTTATACATGTGGATCATATCTATTATTTATATATTTTCAAAACATTATGTTAAATTATAAATGGATTTACAAGAATATATTAAACTACCCGGGCACGCCAAGTATCTGCTTTACTATGATCCCCTTCATCATTTTCATTACAGCCCGTTTCATGCGACTTAAGATTTG